CACTCTCGTCGCTCCTCGCCAGACTTGAACAGTGAGTCGTGCGAAGTGACAGCTGTAAAAGGCCATTTTGAACCCCCTGGGAGAAGATAAGGTTGGAGGAGATGCGATGCCGCCCCTCCTGTAAGTAATACAGACTTTGAAATCTGTGCTTCTCCTGGCACAGAATGCCTCTTTCTTACCTAGCTGCTTGTTGCAGTACTCCCACTGTTATGTTCTTCGGCTCGATGTGCATGTTTTAACTGTGTGCATCAGAAGCCTCAGTAAACATTTCACTTGATACAGGCAAGCAGCCTCCACTTATCTTTATATAGAAAAGTGTGTGTGAAAAGATCAAACCCAGGAAAGGTAGAGACGGCAGCCTTGGAAGGTGAAGGATTTCTGCATGTTTTTTTAACGCTGAGGGGAATTCTTTTTGAAGTCCATGGTTTAGTGGACTGTCTTCATAAAAGAGACACGGACATTCTCTCCTTTGCTAATTTATAAAATGTAAATCAGGTGCGTGTCCTTCATCTCCTTTGAAGCAGAAGAGAAGCATTGTTCTTTACTGCATAATGGGTGGAAGCAATAGCTTTTATGAAATTTAGACTTTAGACTGATATTTGACATAATTTCAGTTACTTTTTAACTGTCTAGCAACTCTCACTTGGAAATTCATTCCCACCACAATTGGTTGGGTAATTTAACAGGCCCAGATCGCATTGGTTATAGTCATAGACGGAATCAAATATGGACATAGTCTCCGTGACGTCACCCATAGACCGGCCACAGCTCTGAATGTGCGTGACGCAAGGAGAGACGTTCTGTTCTGGTCTCATGACGGTGGGGGTTTTCTCCTGGGTCACAAGCCTCCACGGGATTCAATCCACATCTGTTTTGCCTTCCTCCGTTTTCATGCTCCAGACCGCTTCTTCTTAGCACCGTTAGTCGCCGCCCTCCTTGTCATCGAGGTCGTTCGGCCATCGGGTCGTCTGACCGTCTCGCCGTGTCCGGAGGAGATGATACGCAAGGTCTCAAAAGATTAACGTCCATCGTATGAGCCTGTTTCCACGGGGCTACCATGAGAATAGAGGGTGTCTGTGAAACACTGGCGACACTGCCAACTAAAACGTCACCCGTATCTGATGTTATTAACCTCCAGGCCACACATACACAGTATCGTATCCATATGCTCTCTCGCTACGTGAATGCCTGTGTGCAAGCACATGCTGAGGGCCGCTGTCATGAGGAGATAGCAGTCCTCTACCCCCCATCCCATCCCATCCCATCCCGGGGGGTTTTCTGTGACTTTGTGCATCTCGATTGAGCTTCTTTTCCTCATATTCAACTCCCGGCGGTGCTCCTCCTTCATGAACAGTCGCAGCTCCTCATTATTCCTCCTTCACATGTCGCCAAAATCCCGGCACGCCTCCCACATGTGGGACTCCGGATGTCGTTGTGTGCCACGGATCTAATTTGTCTTGATCTTTGCGTTTTCCTTTGATCTCTGCCTGTGTATCAAATCGCTCTCCGTGACAAAGTTCTCTCGGTGGGACTAACACTAACTGCCGTACTGTCACGACTGTTACTGCTGTAACTCCGGCTCTGCTTTGACTCTGAATTGTTGAACACGTAATTCTCAAACTGTAAGTATTCATCTGCTGCTGTAACAGCCCGCACTCTCCTGGGGAAGGCTTTCCTCCAGATTTTGAAGGGATTTGTGGGATTTTAATTTTATTGTCATTGCACTGAGACAACAAAATGCAGCTTAACAACTAACTGGAAAAAGCAAACAGCAGTAAAGTGCATAGAGATGTGTATAAACATCAATGAATGATACTGAACGGTGAACACAGACTGAAAAAATGTGCCAATATGGAGATTAACCGTACAAATTAAATTAGCTTTGATATGCACAATACGAACAATAAACCAGTCATAAATACTACATAGAATGTACAATATAAACGGGCTAGAACGGTGATTTCTAAAGTGGGTGCTGTTGCACAATGGGATGCCTTAAGACCGGGGCAAGGACAGTGTGAGATGACTGTACCTGGGCCAGCCTAAAGAAATAAATCGTTCAGTGCAATGAGAGCCACTTGGCGTTGGTTTAAGTTTAGTTTCGTGATCGATGAATCCAGCAAATGCTTCATCGATTTATCGTTGGGTCCCGGGAGGCGAAGTATCCTGGCATCTTTGAGCTGGACAGAAAATGATACTGCGAAGCATTGCATTGTATCTTAATTACTCCGAACATAAGGTGACTTAAAATGGTAACCGTTTTTTTTTCCAGTTTGGGCAACCTAAAGCTTAATCTTGGTTTCCAGCCTATTAACCACTTTTTTTTAGTTGGTGCTGAGCAGTGACACTACACGTTACATTAACACCGTCACATCTGTCTATGAGCGTTACATTAAGGCACATCTTCTGTACATTACATATTCTTTTTACAATTAGTACTGCGGAGATTTCCACATTCTTCCGACAATTTTACACTTTTGTCCACAAAATCATTTCAATTCTGATGTATTTTACATGTTTTGTTTTTTTAAAGTATTTTTCGTATTTTTATTGTAATATTTTTCTATTCTATATTTGTTTCTTGATTTTTGTTCTTTTGTTTTTCCATTTAATTTTCTCTTATGTTAATGCAGCAATACACTAAAGAAAATTCCGTGGTGCGTAAAAAGACATCTGATCTGATCAGCTGTTAACCGCCTTATGACAGTGCAGAGAACCTTTTGACATATGACACGGGGTCACAAGTAGACCTTGCATTGTAATGTAGTCACTCATGATGTGATACTTATTCCCACAGAGGTCACAGTGATAACAAATCCACATTGTCCCATCCTCATGCCCGAAGCTCCCACGAGGACTTTTACTGAACACACCAGAAGTCCAACATCTCATTTTTGCAGGCGCGAAATGTAGATCTGAAGTTCGCGCTCTCTAGTCGTTGACTCATCTCCCTTATCTCTGGAGAACTAACAAAACAGTCATTAATGGTGAATTATTATACATCTCATTGGGTTTTTAAGCCTGCTGACTTCAAAGAGATGGGGCTTTGCATTGAGAGGCTTTGATGTAATGTGTATGCAGGAAGTCTGAAGTCTGTCGCAGGATTATGAACCACGGAACATTACTTTTATATTAAGCTTCTGTGCGTATCTGAAATGTCTCTGGAGAAAATTGAATTGAATAGATAACAACTTGGTTAAAAAATTGATTTGTGCGGCGTCGAATATGATTTTTGGTCTTCCCTCTTTTACTCGTTTCTATTTTTCCTTTCCTTTTTGTTTCTCCAATCCCAGGGCCACAGGTATGAAGATACTAGAGTACACTTTTACTGCCTGGGCCGCGTGAAGGGAGTTCAGAGTGCAAGTTAGATGTGTGAGGAATGTGAGCTATATCTATCTCCAGCTGCCTCCCTCCCACTCCGCCCGGCTAAACTGAGACGGCGTGAGCCCAGTTCTTAGCAAGGGTTTAGATATCCAATCTGTGAGTCGGGGTGTGAAGTGATCAATATCTATGTAGTGCAGTGGAGTCTCTCTATCGCGCCTCCTCTTTTGTTTCACGGAGTGCTCATCCATCAATAATTCTTTGAGTTTGCCTCCTCATTATTGTGGAAAGCCTACCGGCGAATCAGCACATCTTCATCATGTGAATGCTCTTAAAGAATCAAGCTGATGGTGTTCTATATTTTTTATATTGTCAAAAAAAAAGTATTGTTTGCGTAGCCAGAGGCCACTATAGCTTATTCCTCTGTGCTATAGAGCTCGACTCCACAAAGAGCCACATGTTGGAACATCTTCCTTCATTACCAGTAACATCGGCACTGTAGTTTATTTTGAGTCAATCCCACAGACACACGTGTATTGAAAACATATTTGATTTGTTTTTAAAAATTGGGCGATGCTACACCCTTCCACCCAACTTCATAAAAATCGAGCCGGCAATTTTCCCACAATCCTGCTGACAAACAGACGAGCAAACCAACTAGAAGGAGAGCACAGACCTGTGCCAAGGCCAAATGTACCGTCTCACAATGTCAACGAAAGTGAAAAATAATTTGTGTGTCTGCCCTGAGATCCGGATCCTCTCCAAATTGAATGGGTTCTTCCTTTGCCAATGCACCATCCTTCCACCATGTTTCATAAAAATCAGGCCTGTAGTTATTTCTGAAACCCTGTTGATAAAGAGACAAACAAACCGAAAACATAACCTCCTTTGCTGGAGGTAACTATAAGGGCACTCGGAGAGCACAGACGTCTGCTAATGCAGCTTCCATGAGTGAAAAATAAATTGAGTGCCCTCCCCGTGATGCGGATACGCTTTCAAACTGTAACATAACAGGGTTTTCCTTGGTCCACGCTAGACTCGTTGACCAAGTTCCATTAAAATCAGGCCGGTAGTTTTTCCACAATCCTGTTATCAAACGGACAAACTGAAAACATAACCTCGATCACCAGAGTTACTACAAATCACCTAAAGCCAGACAAGAATGTCTGAACCAGATTTCAGAGCAGTCCATCCAACAGTTCTCTAAACCATATGTTTCAACCTCATGGTGGTCATCTAAGTCTTTAGAAATCATCCTCTGGGGGCCATGAATGTTGATGAAAACATTCCATCATAATCCATCCAATAGTTGTTGAGATATTTCTGTCTGGACCAACCAACACAACAGACGGACACTGCCACCCCTCGAGCCACACCCCTAGCAAGGCTAAAGATATAGAATACCCCCCCCCCCCCCTCAACTATTGAATTGGATTTCTATTTTTCACTCACAAACATGCAGCTGTTGGGCTGTTCATAGTCTATTTAATTAAAGCGTAATGTTAAACAAACACTAACGGTGTGTAATACATACTGTATCATTAATCCCTCATATGATAACTCTTTAAAGTACTGATTTTTACCAGTCCAAGTTTACCCATTTGGTGTATTTTGATTGTGTTGTATTGCTTCCTCGTGTCTACTTAACAACTTGATGTTTTTATTTCATTTCTTCTAAGGCCCGGCATGGACGAGGCAGAGAAGTACCAACAAAGGCTGCAAGCCATAGCGGTGAGAATGTCACTCTTTTACTTTGTCTTTACTTTTGCCCTTTTACTGCCCACTCCAGTCTGCCTTACACCAACTTGGACTTTCACCTCATGTCAAAAACAATCTCACCGCGCCGTCGTTGTCTCATGTCACTTCAGTGGAACGGTCCCGCTTGATCCGCGCTGCCCAAAGTCAGCGAGCAGAGACCATTTCCCCCGGTTTAACTTTCCGGCCAGAAATCTCTGATCTGTGAAGCGAAAGGTTGGAGGGCCTGAGTGGAGCCCAGCTGCCCCCCCACCCGACGTAAAAAATCCGCGACCCACTCCACCAGCGACAGCGAGAGGGGCCCCGGAGTTTAAGGCTTACGTTAACAGCGCTGATACGGAGCCGGCATGCGCACAATGTGCCGCGTCGCTGAACTATTTCTCCCGGCATCTCAGCGCTCCACCAGCTGCATCTCCCCGCTTAAATCTGTCGGCCACATTTCCTAAAAATATCCCCTCTCTCTCTCTCTCTCTCTTACTCTCTCTGCTTTCGTACAGAAGAAGTCCTTGTCTTCAGGGACCAGGACTGCAAAGGGGTGTTACTAAAGAATTATATCAAAAAGCGGGTGTAACCCACCACCATAAGCACAGTGTTCTTGGATCAAGTTCTGTCTGTTGTTAGTAGAAGAAACAGCAGTTGCTTAACTTCTCGTTAAGCTGCTTTTTTATTGTTGGAATAACTCAAGTTTTCTTTGCTGTTGAGAGATAACTTACAGGAGGACTCAATATAAGTGCGGGGTAAGTAGCGCTAACATTCCTAGAAAATGAAATAAGTAAATTGTCTTTTTTTGTGTGCGTTAGATTATGTAAACGACTTCCAAGCAATGTAAAGCCAAAGGCAGCGTAGACAATCTGTCGCTGCCAATAGTTCTGACACTTTCTGTGGTAGCTGCGGCAGGAAAGCGAGGGGAGTTGGGATTGAGTATCGGTACAAAGACACTGTAAAACTGAATCATGCCATCCTGCTTTATCAGCACTTCTTTCACAGTGGTGTCCCTGTCTCAATTCATAACCAACTCGTAGGATTCCAAAGTCTTCCCTCTGGTTGCACTGCCTACTTATCGCCCCTCTCTTTGACGACCAATTCCCTCCAGGACTCTTTTTTTGTTTTTCTTCTTCTTCTTCTTCTTCTTCACGTTCCCTCTTTGAGGATTTAACTTCTTGTCACCAGGAGCGGCGTCGGAGGCAGGAAGAAGAGGAGAGGCTGACGAGGGAGACGGAGGAGGAGTGGTTGAAGACGGCCCAGGAAAAGGTGATTTAAGTTTTTCCGAGGAACCAAATTCTTTCCAACTTGGTCCTCTGAACGATGTAAAAAAACCACCTTAAATAGAGTTTGATAAGAAGATAACAATCCTCACATCTAACGCTCGCCCACAAAAGTGGTAAAGTATTCCTGAAATAATAATGAACTATTTTCTTGTAAATGCTGTCTGCTGGGATCTAGCTATTTTGTTTTTCATTGTTTTCCCTCTTTTCCAGCTGCTTCATGTTAAAAAAAATGACCACTGGCGTGTCCCACCCTCATGTCACGTCTGAGCTCATCGTTAGCTGACGCCTAGCTCTAATGTCCTGCGTGGACTCATTATGACCTCATTATGACTCAGATTTACTCACATTCGCAAGTTGTTTTCACAAGTGCAGAAGATGTGGCGAAGGCCCACTGCCGACTTATTTTGTTTGGCCCCGCCCACAGAGAGTCGGCTCCATGCATGGATACATGAGTTGGATCAATGAAAGGGGGGGGGGGCTTCAAGTGTTTGAAAGTGTTTGTCAGGGTTTTCAGTTTGTCACTCACGCCAGCCAATGAGTGACGGATCATATCTCGACTCCAGGAGCGGGACGTCTGGGGGGGCTTTGGATCTCGGAGCCGTGACACCTTTTCACTGTCACTCTCACAGACAACGGCAGTCTGCTGGCCTTGCTCATCCTCGGCAAGATCCAAACCGGCAGCGCCCGCAGGGCTTCGTTCGTGTGTCTGCGGAGGAGCCAAAATGGCAGAGGAGCGCTGCCAGGTGGCTAGCTGCGTGTCTTGAGCCGCTGAATGATTGTCAACACGGGTACAAGGCTCTGTGCACAGTAGCGATTGTTTTGGTTATGTCTCTGTTTTTTTTCTGTTTCTGACAGCATTGACGCTATAAGGGATCGTCCAATCACAGCTTAGCGTCCGTATCCAGGCACAGCTGGTTTCTGAAGCTTTTTGGGGTTTTCTCCACATGCTGAAGCAGAGTGTAGTGAGCGTGATGCTCTCTATCCAAAACACATGGAGGGTGGTCTTGCCATCAGGGTTACCCAAGATAGCGTTGCATTTACCAAACACTTTGACAAATTGTCCCCGTTTTCCCCACAATCATAATATTATACACGTTGTTAGTGCTTACATAGACGTTTATCATGTACTGTCCCACTCATTAACCCACTATAAAAGCATAAGGAATGCACCGCCCGTCTCAATTCAACACTGAAATGTCTGCATGAGTGTCTATCGGTCGGTATGTCATTGTCAAGGTGACTGTAGCAGCTCTTTCTGACGGGCCCTGTCGGTACGCTAACTGTTAGCCGTCATGTCAAAGACAGACTTACTCCTTCCTTCCCAGCAAAAATGCTGCGTTCTGCACACGCTGCAAGGGCACCTTTTCGGTTGCGCATGGTGGAAATAGAAAAGATAATTTTAATACTGTGAAAATAAACAATAGCTGGCAGAGAAACTGTCAGTCGCTCGTGCACACTGACAAATACGTTGTGTTTAGTTTTAAAGGGTGTCTATAATACACCACTGCAGTCCTTGTGTTTTGTGTTTCCTAGTGTAGCTACAGTACGACAACTTTCTTTGTCACGAGCACTTCCAGTCAGAGCCGTACATGTACAACAACTAGGTCTGAAGAGGCTCCGAAGAGACGGAAAATAGTTTTGATGCAAAATATTCGCAAGCGAGTATTTAGTATGATGGCGTCATTTATCATCATGCCCCAGATGTTTTAAGATATGATGTTTGTAGCCATTAAGTGCATATTTAAGATCCATGTGCAGGGTATTTATTTAAAAATGAGCCAGCTTGACACTTTAATTAAAGTGTGGAGCTAAAGTTAGCTTAATAAGCTAACAAGCTACAGCAGAGAAAATCCAAGTGCTCATGTCCGGTGTCACTGTAACCTGACTAAGAATCATTGTAAACTGTAAGTGCCGCATGAGACTTGAACACTCAAGTGAGCCAGCATTAAGAGGCCACAAAGTCCTAAAGGGTTTAATGATTAATGTTGACCGCTCGGGTAAAATCACCAAACATTCTGCCCGTCTCTCCGTCTCGACCTTTTAGTTCTGAACTTGACTTTTCTGTCCTCACATTCTCCCACAGAGGAAGCACTTGAGGGAGCAGTGGCTCAGCGAAGTGTCCCCCGTCCTTGACGATCCGACGACAGGGTGAGCCACATTTCACCAGCCTCATTCACGCACACTTAATTCAATCACAATTTCACGAGTCTTTGAGACATTCATGATGGGGGGGGGGGGGGGAATTTGGGTCGATTTAGTCTGCACTCTGCTGGCACACAGATAACTGATGTGCAAGGCTCACATTTGTAAAGATATATATTTTTTGAAGCAGAGGGTACAGGTATTTTCGTCACAGATGCACTTCTGTATCGACCATGACGAGATCAAATGGGAGGCGGCCATGTGACAGCTGGTGTGATGGATTATAGCCAAGCACATAACTACACCACACACACACACACACACACACACACACTCGACTCATAACGTCTTTATTTTTATTAGTCCAACTGCTCTGCTTCGTTTATTTTCCGAGCTCTGATGTGCACCTTTTTGTGTTAACAAGTATTATGTCTGTGCCGATGTGTCTCAGGGAGCGAACCGAAAGTCAAAAGACGCCCAAGGACGAGGAGGCAGCTGAAGCCAGAAGAGAGGAGCAAGCCTCCCGAGAAGAAAACAAAGAATCTGGCAACTGTGCAGCTGCAGTCAGAACACACAGCCAGGTGACACGAGCAGATGTTTCTGGAGTACCACGCCACAAAAACAGACTTGAATGTATCGCAGTTTTAGCCGACAACATTCAGGTTTTCTTGCAAAATGAAAATTTAGAGACGTACCGCAAATAGCCCCAAAATATTTTAGGATTTGAGCCGATGTGACGGCAGTGGAAGTAAACACCCCTTTGGCTAAAATTCTCCTCAGAAGGCTGAAACTTTTTTTTTTTTTTTTTTAAATCTCATCCACGGTGAATATGAAAATAAGGCGCAGAATGATCTCTTCGGTCAAAACATGCAAATTGTATTCAGCTTGGCCTCGTGCCACGTCCCAGGCAGTCGAGTGTTAAATAAATAAAACGTTACAGAAAAATAACCCACTAGCCCGTGCAGCTGGGGTGTGAGCTCTTCAAATTATGTATCATGAATAAAAAATGGTCGACGGGCGCTGCCACATAATGATTTATCACCGCATGAGTGAACCCACACAGAATTCTCACCCTGAATTTGGTGAATAGCGAAACAAATGTCCTCGTTTTCACGGGTTTTGCGCGAATACCATTTGTGTGTGTTTTTTGCGGGTTGAATCTAACACTTCGTTTGATACATTAACATCGGCATACATTTATCATATAATTGTAGCGAGTGCGTGACAGCGCTTGAACTTTAAACTCCTGAGAAATTTAGCTGAGTGTGCAACAGCAGCAGGACTGAAACGGCTGCCGGGCGACGTAGTCAGCACCTCTTGACATGATGGGACTAAGCTTGGTTCAACACTTCTCTGGTGATGACTGAAATATTTATGGCGGGGGGGGGGGGGCACAGACTCTGTCTGTTTTAAGTGTGTTACCAAGGACAGCACTCAAATTGTCTCCTCTCTTTCTGCCCTGCAGGCTGGAACTGACGAGGACGAGCAACAAGGTAAGAAGTTAGCCGGGGGGGAGGAGGGGGGGCTGTGATCGTCATTAGCTCACCGTCGGTCTCCATCTCTCTTCTTTGTCGCTCTCGGGGCCGTTACGACTGCCCAGAATCTATTCTCTCCTGACGGATGATAATTTAGCCGAACTAAGACTTTGCGTAAAGAGCAGTCATTTAAAATCGGGGTGACAGAATGGAGCCGCGTCTGGGGAAACGGCGACGACGTCTCTTACAGTCTGCGAGTCATTCTGCTGAGCGAGAAACACCACGAGAGGCCGGAGTTTATCCAAAAGCTTTTGCTTCCAATGTGCACAAAGTTACAGAGGAGTTACAGAAAAGACTGGCTAGAGAACATTCGACACATCGCCGACTAAAGAATGGACATCGCAACACAGTGCGATATTTCAGTAAATGGACAGAAGTGTACTGATGACTTTCTTCCATCCAAACATCAGTCAAAGAATGTTAAATTCATGAAAATTAGGACTCGTGTTAAAGTCAAGTTAGCACATTGAAAGCTCCAGAAAACTGATGTCTCTAAACTACCGGTTTCTGTCAATAGTAAATGCAAGCAAGTCTCGTTCCTGACCGGTCCACACTGCCGACTATACACTTCTCAAGCGATTGTTTTGTTTGTCTGGAAACCTGTTTTTCTTTTAACCCAAATATGTACCATGATATATTTGATTGACAACCGCTTCCTGCGTGGATGGGAAGTCAAAAGGTAAAATAATGTCATCAGGGCTGAAACGCACAAAGTCAATAGTCCTACAAACGTTGATACACCCTACCTCGAAATCCAAGATGGCCGCAGTCCATCAACAGTAAAAAGCTGTTAATAAGCACTTCAGTCTTATTTTTGTCTGTCCAACTTCTATCTGTGGACATGTTGCTACGGTGCGGATAACAATAGTGGGGTAACGCGTTGTTATTGCTGGTATCGCCAACAATAGCTGGCTGGAGCTAACCACATTAACTTTTTGCGAGTTTGGTGATTTCAATTTTCAGCAATTGATTACAAAACAAACACTGATGATATATGAACTGATCTCAAGTAAAGTAATACATTTTAATTCTAGTTTAACTCAAAAACGTACTGTACAACGTGTACGCTTTCTTTTTCAGTGAATAAAGACGCTGAGGATCACATCTCCATACAAATGGCGCAGAGGATGTTTCATGAAAGTGGGCAAGAAGGCCGATCAGGTGAGGCACAGGAGTAGACTTTGTTGTAACTTACCATGAATTTAGATGTTCAGTATGTAGTAATGACAGGGCTGTAGCTCACACTGAGTATTCAGTATTTCTGACTCAAAGTGCTGGTGATTTGAG